GCCTAACTAACACAGTGTGTCATCTTTCTTTGTGTCCAATGTGTTTCCATATATATGACAGGGGGCCTGTGGAACAACACACACAGATGAATCTGCAGCATGCACTGCATTGCACACACACCAGCTACACAGAGGTGAATCCATAAGGAGCCACTGGAACTGCACAGTCATCAGTACTTGTCATAACAAATGATGGGTCATGCCCTGTACAGAGAGGGAGAATCCCCATATAGCAGTGCTAACTGTATGAAAAGCTTAGCAGATACAGCTGCTGCAATTGTCAAGCATTCCTGAAGGAAGGTACACAGCATGATACTAATGTTGGTGAAAATGAAGAATATTTCTTAAAATGTATAATACATCATCAAAATCAACCATTTACTGGTTATAGCTTCAATGTGAGGTTTCTGTGCTTTTTTTATTTTATCTGTTAACTGGTACATTTTGTATCGGTTGGTCAGACAAAGAAACATCATTTTGGGCAGGTGCGATCTTTGTGCGATTCTTTTCATTTGGACATTTCCGATGCCTGGCGAAAATAAAACATACATCGCTTGAATCATAATTACACTGTTGTTTTTGTTGCGCTGGGATTATATGGTTCTCAGGTTGCTGAAGATCTGCAGCCTACAAATGTCTAGCCAGTCACAAATGAATCCTGATCCAAGTTTTTCTGTGACCATTCATCCTTTCATTATTCCAGCGCTGATGTTGTTTTATAGCGTTATATATTGTTTAAACGTATATTTAATCCTGGCCTTTTGGGTTATTTATTTTATCTCCTATGGATCTGTTTTGTAGGGTACCGTCTGGCCTATAATAGGGTGGATAATTAGGCTAACAGATCGCCTTCTCAGTAGATAGCCTCATTATGTTTGCGTGTGGCTTGGCAGATGGTGAGGTTGTCAGATTGTCCAATCAGCCTGATAGATCCGGTGAGAGCGCGTCCGGCGGCGCGCCTCTCCCGGTGCCACCGGCAGGTCTTACCTTGGTGAGCTGAGCGATCTTCTTGCACATCTTGCTGTGCATCTGGTAATCATACAGCTCCTGCTCGATGTTCGGGAACTCTGCCGCAGTCCCGTTAAGAGCGGAGCCCGGCCCGGGGGGCTGTACAGCCTTACCGGCGCCTGAGGCCATAACGACCCACCCCCCCACCCCCCAAGGGAACTTCCCCGACCGGAGGGTAGTC